ACACAAATACACAGACCGACAGACGAGTTGTCTGAGATGACGCAACGCCCTTCAATCTCCCACCCCTCTATCTCTCTCTCAATCTTAGTCAAGAACGAGAAACCTAGCCCCTTCATCTCTCTCACATGAGACGATGCAATGCCCTTCGATCTCCCCTCACTCTCTCTCTCCACTTTCTCTCTCTCACTCTTAGTCAAGGACGAGCAACCCAACCCCTCCATCTCTCTCACTCCTCCAATTGAATAACGCTCAAATTTGAGATCTGAGATCTCAACAAAACATCTCTAACAAAGCTCTCTCAAATAGTAACGGTCTCTCTCCATAAATAAATAAATATATATGTGTGTATGTGTGTGTCTATTTACATTTTAAAATTTATGTGCATTTTCTGGTATTTGTTTTTTAATTGTATTAATTTTGAAATTTTGGTCCGACTCCGATTAGCAAAAGCGAAGGCAATGTACTGTAGAGTTGGAGGAAAAAACTCACTCCAATTAAAATCGGAGTCGGAGCTCGGATTGATGTATTCTAACTCCGTGGGAGTCAGTGTCCACTCCTAGTTTTATATAAGTAAAAATTTGACATTAACGATAGCTTGTTTAATAATTTTATAAATAACTGTGCAACTATTTTTATTGGACATCCTAACGATAAAATCCTTGGTGCGTCCCAGCCTACACAACTCATAACTTCTTTCCATTAACCATTACAACCTTGGTTTAAGTAGAATCTTTAAAACCAGACAACGTCCCAATTCAACAATATTGCATTACCAACAATATTATTCTCGTTCACTTGTTCCACACTGTGGTAACACAAAAATTAAATATATGTGATGAGCAACCTCTTCAAAATAAGGTCATTTTAATTAAACCCACTTTTCCAGAGTAAATCCCGAATTGCAATCAAACTTCTAACACAAGTATGTGTTTATCTCGGAGATATTAGCGAAAGTCGAACCGAGAACGTTCAAGTTTACGGTTCATCCCAAACTCAACCCCACGCCACTGCATCATCCGTGTGGGTTAACACAAAATTCTTTTTGTCTTCAAAAAATGGATAAGTCTATGGTGTCGAAGATTTTTTTTCCCCGTATATTGTACCACAAATGCAATCTTTGGGAGCCCTTTTACTGATAGAATAAAGAAGATGAAGCATAACAGTAAAGATAGAAATGCTAGAACTTCTCACCTTTGGCAAGCGGGGTTAGTTACAATCCATGCCGAGGTGGACAATCAGTTTTTTTTTTTTTTGAATAAAAAATCAATTGGATGAGCTATAATCTAGTGTAGCTTATGTGATCATGTGTAACTAGTGTGACTGATCGAGCTGGAGAATGAGCTAGTGTGCTCTGATATATGATATCTCATACTCATTCTGTCAACCGGCCCCCTCAACTGATGGGTTAAGAGGCCGGAAGTTTGGAAGAAAGAAATAAGAACCGTTCAATGAAAAGTCCTTTAATAAAGAGATCAACTAATTGATGTTGAGACTGGACATGCTGAATATCGAGTTGTTGTTTAGTGACTTGATCCATGGCACAGTGGTAGTCCACTTTTATGTGCTTGGTTTTGGCATGAAATATAGCGTTGGAGGCTAATGCAATGGCAGAGGTATTGTCACACTAGATAACTGGCTTGGTCTCCAAGTAAAGATGCAAGTCAAGAAACAAAGTTTTGAGCCAAACTAGCTCTGTAGCAGTAATGGCTAAGGACCTATATTCAGCTTCTGTAAATGATCTGGACACTGAATTGTTTTTGCGGACCGGATTGGAGCCTAAAAAGACGGTGAATCCAGTGATAGACCTTCTGTCAGAAGGATCATCTGCCTAGTATGCATCAGCAAAAACAGTGAGAGAGACTGGGGTAGAAGAATTGTAGTTCAGGCAACAATGAGAAGTACCCTTTAGATATCTGAGTATTCTTTTGACAGCTAAGTAATGAACTAATCCAAAAAAAATTATATTTTAAACCACGAAAGTGATAATCCCATATCAAATAGGTTGGAACACAAGGTTTAACAAGAAACGTGGAATACCACAGCATAATGCCGCATTACACCGGTCCCTGGAAAACTCAGCCCTTATATGGTCCATTGGAAACTCAGCTGAATTCTGGGCATTCCGACAAGGCCTCCAACCGGCGGTACAAAATTGCTAGCATAAAAGGGGATTAACGAATGAATATAATGTGAGCACAACGTAACGATGTGACACCATGTCCCGTCAACGGCATTTATTGTCAGTTAGTTGCATGGGTAGAATTTCACAGGTTAGGGGAGTATAGGATTTGATTTTGGGATTAGGTGTAGGTGATTGAGTTGGATTAAAAGTTTTCAATTACTGCCTACAAATCAGTTTTAATTCTGTTGAAATTCCCATATATATTGAAAGAGCTGCTCCCATCGACATAGGTAAAATTTGTAGTGAACTATCTAGTGTTCGTGTCCGTTGTTCAACATATAGAGTCCTTGCATAATGGATTGTAGAGATGTAATCAATTTTAGATTTATTTTGCACTTTCTCTCAATGTTTTTTCTTATAGTAAATCATCAAGTACGAGTCAATTTATATAAGTCTCTCACAAGAGCACTGTTAATGATATATCATTAAAAAAAAACTTGAGGAGAGAGCATTGGACGAGATCTAACATTATAAATTTATTGGAATTGTAGAAAACTCATTATTATTATAGTTTTTGCATTAGAGTAATAATCTGAGTTGTTGAGGTTTGATGGCTTCTATACGAGGTTGAACAAGCAAGGGTGTTCTAGTGAACTTACGTATACCTCCATTAATCTCCTCTTTTCCGATATGATTAAAAACATATTATCCACGTCGAAACAAGAGAGGAGTTACTAAATTTCAAACTCTGAATGTTTGGATTATAACTCATCTTTTTTGAGTGGACTACTCCTTGGAGTTGTCTTCCTTCTTATTTGTTGGCCAGGTGTTCCCATTTTTAGAAGTAAAGATTGTGCCGCCTCGTAATTCGCCTCGTAATGTAGGAATCAATTCAAAATTGACATAAAATTAATGATGAGTTTGAGTTTGAGTTTAACTTTAGTAAGCTTAGGTAAAAGTGGGTAACTTTTTAGATTTGTCAAGTAAATAAATCGACAAACCTAGTTAAATACGACTTGTGTTTGAGTAATCCATACATGACATGAATCTAGCCGGACATGAATTGACTATATACGATCATAACTAAATTGAGTATAAGTTTAACAAATTTTGATATAACACAAATCAAAAAGTTTAGAGTTGTGGTGTCGATTTCGATCTTATTGTTGAAAATGTACTTGTAATTATTCTTGCTCTCGTTATTGATCTTTGGTTGTTAAATTATCATTCGATTCCTTCTATTCTTTATCATGTGCTTTAATCTATTTATTGGGCCTCCTCATTTACCTTATCGCTGTAGGTTGAACTTGGAATAAAATTTGACAGGGGATCAGATCAATGAAGGAATTGAAAATTATAATGAAAGATAAAAGTGATACTTTATGAAAAAATAGTTAAATATAATGAAACATAAAGTCATGGGATTACTATAAATAATTTGTGGGCATTATAATTATTTTATAAGTGGTCATTGCATTCCGGGGATGTAAATTGGGCAGACTAACCCAAATTCAATTGAATTTTTTAATAATTGGGATGCGATTTTTAATGCTTGACTTGGTCTTAGGCAAAAAAAAAAAAAAACTAAGTCGAATTTAATGTGGGCAATACTCAGGTTGGAATTTCGGATTGACAGGTTCAACATAAACCAACCTGAAATTTAAGAAATAAGGTCCAACCTAAAATTTGGAAAAAAAAAAAAAAATGAAGCTTCCAAACAAACGTACATACATACATATAAAATGTTAGGGTGTTTACATCATTCTTCTTATCCATTGTTATTGATATTTTAAGTCTATCGTAGATGTGAAATTTAATTTTCTATTTTTTAGTTAATTTTGATTAATGAAAGAAATAACTTTTAAATTTAATTTCGGCACTGACCATAATAAATTCGACTTCTATTTTTGGTTCAATGTGAGTGTTTAATTAGACTTAAATTAAAAACTTTCTATTCTTAAGACAAGTTGTATCACGGTTATACTATGTATCATGTTGACATAATATAACCCTTAAATAAAGTAATTATATATATATAAATATTATTTAATTTTATATAATTTACTTAATTACTTATTATTTTATTAATAAATAGTTATACCATATTATAGCGATGAAATGGTATAACAATCGTACCAAATATTTTCTCCTCCCGCATGATTAATTTTTTTCAAATAACACAAGTCACACACGACTCCGAAAGAGGCAAAGCGTGACGGAAGATACCAAAAATATTCTCCACAAAAGTTACTTACATTACCCGGCATGTTTTAAATGGTCCTTGCCCAGCGTTATGTACCAAACTCCGTCACTTGATCACCACTCCTTTCAAAACAAGACAAGACAGCAGCAGAGAGCCAATGAAATCCCTCTCCATCCTTAAAACCAAACCCTAATCTATATCTTTGTAGAGAGAGAAACTACACACACACATATACGTATACATTCAGATTTTTCAATCTCTCTGCAAGTCCTCATTCGTATTTATCACTAAAACCAATCATTTCCTCAATCTCCACATTTCTAGAGAGAGAGAGTGAAATCAAACTCCATTTTCTATCTTTCTATAATCCTCAACCGTTCAATAAAAAAATTCGTTTATTTCTATGTATTTATAGAGATAGAACCTTATCTCTTTGTTTTCGTCAGGAATCGATCGATTTAGGAAGGATTTGTGGTTGAGTTTTAGATCAATCGATTCCATCTCATACATACAAGTTGGTTGTTTGTTTGTAGTGGTCTCTTGGTGAAGGGAACGATTTGAGAAAGATCTGTTTGATTGAATTTTGACTGATTGATTCACTGCATGAAAGATACAGAGGGAGAGGAAGCGAAACGATCGGAGTAGGATAGAGAAAAACTGAGCAGAGCACACAACATGTCTGCCATAGTGTGCGGAAAGAGATCATCTTTTTTCGACGAGGACCCTGTTTCCAAGCGATTTCGCCGTTCTTCTTCTTCCTCCCCTATTCGATTCTCTCCTCCCAGACAATCCACCGGCTCGCCTCCTCGGAATTCATCGATTGATTTTTCGTCAGCTTTGGAGTGTCTGTCGAAGCTAGATCATCTCATTGCTCTTTTTCCTGACATGGAAAAACAGGTCTAGCCATCTCTGTGTTTATATCTTTATTTCTTCTGTATTATCACTTTTCTTGTGGGATTCTTGCATGTGCATTTTCTTTACAAATTGTGAAATTTTTATGAAATTATTGTGATTGTTTGATTAAATTTTCGTTTTGTTGTTTACTTTGATAGATAGTGATTTGGCTCTTTTGAGGAACCATGGCTCTTGAAATTCGAATTCAGTTCTTCATGGTGAAATTTTGTCGCATCTTTTCGTTTTTTTAATATTTAGGGATGTAAATGATGTATGACAATATGGAATTACTGCAGTATCCAATCATTAAAAGTCAAGCCATTATTTTTTAAACCTAGATTACGATACTACTTTAGGATAATGATTGGCCAGTCCCATTGTGTGTCATTGCGTAAATGAAGTTAGGTTTCATGTGAAAGCTTTTATGCTATCATTGATCGGCTGGATATCATTGTGGCCGGAAGATAATTTTGATTTTTGTTATCTCTCAATAGGCAATGCTTTAATCTACAGCTCAATGGGAGATGCCAAGTTTTTTATCGGATTATTGTTCTGTGTCAATGAGGGATTCATATTCTTTGTCTTTTTTTATGCTTGTTGGCTGCTAATGTGTAAATATCTGTCTGCCATTTTCTTGTGTTATAAGAGGCGTTATTTCAGTTTGCTCCTATCATTAACTCTTCATTGCTGAAATTAGCTTTTTAAATCACTAGCATTCCTTTAATGTTAGTTCTATGTCTGTTGCTCAACCGACTATTGTGGGATGAGGATGAGTGACATGGAAGCATTTCCTTTACATTGCTATTTTGATTTAGTTAGTTTTTGAGTTAATATGCCAACTTTTTCCTGTATTGTAAACTCGGAGAGCTATATAGTTCTAAGACTTCATGAACCATTTGAAATCTATTATAACTGTAATATGTCGTGTGGTGTAAACTAATCGAAGTTGGCTGAAATGTCTTTAAAGATGGGGATATGTTAGGTGTGACTAGCTTGCACATTGTGGAAAAGTTGGGGGGGGGGGGGGGGGAGGGGGGGAGGATTGAAGAATCATTGATGAAAACCCGGAATCTGGTTTAGAGACAATGGTGTTCATTGTTCTAGATTTTAAGAATGTCTTGCATTCACGATCTTCCACTATGTCAAGTAATTGAGAAACAAAGTCATAGCCATGCTGGTTATTTATATGAGTGTGTCTATAACATGGTCATTGAAGTTTCCATGTTACATTTTTAATATGTTTTTTTCCCAGTGCATATGTACAATTACTGATATAGGTTCTTTGACGAGTTACTAATTATTGTTTTTTTTTCCCCAGAGCATATGTGCGATTACTGATTTAGGTTCTTTGACAAGTTACTAATTTTTCCTAAATGGCATAAATTGTAGCTTCTTGAGAGAGCACTTGAAGAATGTGGTGGTGATCTGGATTCGGCTATCAGAAGTCTGAATGAGCTACGCCTGGGATCTGCTGCTGGCAAATCTGTCGCTACACAAGAAGCAATTCAGTTCTCAGCTCCAGGTGAATGTTGATTGTGTGTCAAGTGTCAACTATTTATTGCACTAAAGCTTGACATTCCTTTTGTTTCTGGGATTCCACCCCCCTGGATATACTGGTGTCTGTTATGTCGTTGATGCTTCCTTAGATTTGTGCTGTTTATGAAGTAGTAATCATTCTTGGTATTAATGATTCCCTAGTAGAACAGAACAATTGCTAATAATAATTAGAAAAGTCTAACATAGCTGTCAAAGTATTTGACACTGCTCTCAAGCTGTGAGTAGATACTTAATGATGAATACTGAAACGTGAACAACAAAATTTATGTGGTTTGGAAAAATCTTGCCTGCGTCCTCAGTGATAAGGAATTTCAGTCATTTAGGAGCAGTTTCTTGCAATTCAGGAAGGAAAGAACCTTGCCTAAAATATGCAGAAATTGATTGATTGATAATTAGAATGTCATTGGTAGTTAACATTTTGACTGCCTTCTGCCCCATCAGGTTTGCTAGTTTTGATTATATTTAAAATTGATTTGATGCAATTCATTTATGTGTTTGTTTATTGATTCCCTGTCAATAATTTGTTCATCTAGGGATAACGTTATCTGTTGTGAAGCCTCCATTGTCATTTGAAAATTTGTCCAAACAAATGTGCCAGCTTGACCTTTGATATAGAGAATACATCATAACAGTGAGCATGATTCCTGGACTTGATTTTGAATCAGATCTTGCATTTGTAAATTGTGGGCAACTTACCATGCACGTCTGCTTTCATTCAAAGCATAGGGTTCTAATATTTATGTCACAGGTATTTTGACCGGTAATGGTGAGGCTACACCTGCAGAGGATCCATCTGCTTCGCAAAGCCTCCCCATGGATGGTGCAGACTGGGTGGACCTATTTGTTACAGAAATGAAGAACTCGTCTAATATGGATGATGCCAGAGCCCGGGTATCTAAAGTACTTGAAGTGTTGGAGAAGTCAATTTGTGAACTTGCAACAAAAGAAGCAGCCCAGAATTTCCAGCAGGTGGTTATCCATTACGTAATAAAGTTTTCTTTCCTTTGTAATCAGGAAACCCCTATAATACAGCTTGTATTGCTGTAGTATTATTTATTTCATGGACCTCCTTTCTAGATTCCTTTCTTTTTATTTCCTAGCACTTTACTGGCTTTGGGGAGTAGGGGCATTGCATGTAATGAAGAGTGGTTCTTGTTCTATATGTTTTGCTGTAACCCATACTTGCATTTGGCATGTGGCAGGAGTACATTATGCTAAAGCAACAAGTTGAAGGACTGTGTCAGGAGAACACTATTCTAAAGCGAGCAGTGTCCCTTCAACATGAGCGTCAGAAAGAATTCGAGGATAGGGGCCAGGAGTTGCATCACCTGAAACAGCTGGTGACTCAGTACCAGGAGCAGTTGAGAACTCTTGAGGTCAAACAAACTCAAAAGCCTCTGAAATTTCATGATTTAATGTTTGTGTGGAGTTCAAATCCATATGCATGTTGAATCCAATTGGAGTTCTGATAGCTCCTGTTCAGCATTGTTTCCTATTGGAAACTAAAAAAAATAATTTAACAAATGAGTAAATTCTGTTGGTTATCCCTCCTAGTCCTAATAGATGCTTTCCTCCAGAAGAACATTGCATGGTGAAGAAAGGCAAAAATTAATGGAAAATAGAGAGGGGGAAAGGCCACAATTTGATTTTTGTATCAGTGAAAAGTTTAATAAATTGCACCATACTGGTACATTTTTAATCATTGAACTTAATATGCTATTGATGTTCATCAGGTAAACAACTATGCTCTGTCAATGCACCTCAAGCAGGCTCAACAAAGCAACTCCATGCCAGGGCGTTCCCATCCTGATGTCTTTTAGTGAATATAGATCTGGCTGTACATATGGGTGAGGGCATGCAGGTGCTGTCCTCTTTTATGCCGATAAGGTATATTGAGTCATTGATTGACAGACTATTAAACCTATTTTTATCTGCTTTCTCTGTTGTAATTTGAATTGGAATGAATACCTATTTTTACCTGCTTTCTCTGTTGTAATTTGAATTGGAATGAATACTCTTAAATGTTGTAACGATTTCTAAGTAATAGCAGATATTCATCTTTTCGTGGTCATATTATTCTTTATTTTTTTTAACAGGATGTTTGTGTTATTCAAATGGTAGTTTATTTGATTGTGGCCTTCTGTTGTCTCTGTGATCCTAGGACTGAAAGCATCTACCGTGCTTATTGGGCTCTGGTTATTGTAGGGTTTGGTGAGGAACAGATGTGCATAGTCTTGCGCTTTATGCGGAGAGACTATCGTAACGTTTAAATCCCAATAGAACAACTTTACTTATGTAAACGGGCCTATGAAAGGGGGAAAACGTAAGTAACTTCTCTGTATTACTTTGCTGTTTGTGGAACCAAACTATCCTTTGCTTTCAGCCGGGAAAAGGATCAGGAAGTGTTAATTGTTGGGCTGAATATTTACTTTTCCTTACTATATTCTGTTGTGGCTTCTTTATTAGAAGCAGTAAGAAATCTAGGACTTAGTGAAAGGTGTTGCTAGCTAGCTATGGGATAGGATACATGTAGAAATTCAATACGTTGAAGGACTCAATAGAAGACATGACAAATGTATCGAACCCTTGTGAATTTTATGCAATGGGCGAAAACCTGTCGAAGCAATACCTTGTGGAGGTAGAAGGCACATGGGTCATGAACTTTATTTAGGTGGATTAAGCTGTGTTAATATGGGCTGGGATTTCACTCACCATTAGTTGAAATTGGACGTTTGTTTGGAAGCTTGGTCCAATAGGTTGAAAGCCTAATCCAACAAATTTATCCACCCAATCCAATCTTTATCATATCCTGCTCTGCCTGGAGAGGACTATCAGTGCAAGGTTTTTCTTTCACACTAATTTCAGATTAAAGAATTTTAAAGACCACTGGTGAACCTTTTATAAAATCAAATTTTAGTGTCCAAACAAGTTTTTATTAGTTTTTTTTTTTTGGGGGGGGGGTGGGAAGAGAGAGATAAGGGACTTGAACCTTTGACCTTAAGAAGACAAAGTCTTCACAAGAGAAAGAGCACCATTGAACTAAAGGTCCATTGGTCCTGAAAATCAAGCAAAACCCATGATTAAGGATTTGAACTAGTAGAGATAAGAGAACAAGATCTAAACTTAGTGTAGTAAACCTCGGGGTGCACACACACTCCAAGCACTCATGCCTTAGGCGAGTTCAAAAAAATCCCCTGCTGAAATTGGCCGAATGTGGGAGCTTGAACCAGTGACCTTGAGGTTGTTCCCCAAAAATTTGTGTCACACTACCTATACCTTTGGATTAATTTGAATATTTTCATCTTCACTTTAGTAGTTCTTTGAAAATAAAGGTTCTTGCAAGTTGCAACATATCTTTAAGGCTTGACAACAAAAGGTATGCTATGCTTTAGTGCATAGGAAGCAACTGTCTAGAGGAGGACCAAAATTGGGGCTCCATGGGGGACCAACCCACTAATGGGTCCCACTCTTGAGAGTAACTTATGCTACAAATCAGGGTACTTGAGGGAGGAGTGGGGCTTATTAGTAGTTTCAAGTACCAATTATTTACTATAGACCAAAACCAGCAAAAATGCCCATCTTCCCTGCCTTATACTGTACCCTATATTATTGTCAGAGTTTGAAGGTAAGCTAATTTGTGAAAATTATGGGTTTCTACAACTTAAAATAACTACTTCTATAGTTGACTTACAAGTTACAATGGATTTGAATGCATATTCAATTTAAAAATTCGAAATTGGATTCGATCTGTATATTTGAAGTTTTAATTTTACGGTCTATTTTTGAGTCTACTAAAAAATAAAAAGTTCAATCTAAAAATCGATTTGCAATTAATTTCCCTAATTTCGATCGATTTTCATAACCATTGATGGTCCTACTTACAGCTACCATGTTAGAAAATTTTTGCAGAGCTCATAATTAATTTTGGGTAATTATCATCCGGCCATATCTAGATAGTCATATTTTCAACGAGACTCCCTCCATTATTTAAAATATTATTGACATTCATTCTAATTTATTTTTAAAAATCATTGATATCTCTTGTCGCTAACCCACCATTTCTATCAAAAACAATTCATCTAAAATATCAAAATTGCCCCTACATAAATCTCAAATAATTTTTCTACAAAAAATTTTGATCAAATTTTTAATTGATTAAAATTTATTTTTTACATATTAAAATTTAAGTCGATTAAAATTCGATTTGAGCTGAATAAATTTAATTTTTTTTACATATTAAAATTCGAGCCTATTAAAATTCTTTGTTTTTATGTATTAAAAATCAAGTCGATTCGAGCTCAACCTGAGTTGCTAACGCCGATTGAAATTCGAATCAAGTTAATTAAAATTTATATTTTTTACGTATTAAAATTTGGGCTAATTAAAATTCAATTCAAGTTGATTAAAATTCAATTTTTACGTATTAAAATTTAAGTCGATTAAAATTTATATTTTTTTATGTATCAAAATTTGGGTTGGTTAATTCAAGTTGATTAAAATTCAATTTGAATCGATTAAAATTGAATTTTAATCTGCTCAAGTTTTAATAAATAAAAAAAATCTAATTTGTAATTGATGCGGATTTTAATACATAAAAAAAATATAATTAGATCGAATCAAAATTTAATTGACTCAAAGAGGTATGAAATTTTTATAAAATATATCAATGGCAAATTTAATAAAATTATATTCTAGTTGTTTCAGATAATAAAAAAAATGTAATTGAAGATGTCTATATGGAGGCCGTATGGATGATAATTACCCTTAATTTGTTCTCTGAAATACATACTATGCATAATGAAGTATTCGAGGTGCTGCATGTGATGATCATTATTGACTTTTGTGGGCCCATAAATAAGACTGTTTTGATGGGACCCCCCTGCTTTTCATCCTCATTCCTTGATCCAACGGCTACAACCGCCCCCTACCCTACAATGTCCTTATTTTTACAAAATACTATCAATGCACGATGTGTGTAACTAAATTTAAATAATAGTATTTTTATAATAAAATATAAATTATATATATAATTAAATTAAATAATAAATTGGGGTCAAATAATTCATTCATATTTTAATTATATTTAAATTTAATTATTGATTTATTTTATAAATTTTTAAGCAATTAATTTATCATTTATTTAGGTATCTGTTAGACCCTTTTAAATATTTGCACATCAAATTATATTATAAAATTAACAATTTTTATTTTATTAAATAAATTGATTAGACCACTCTTATAATATTATTATTTTATTACATACCAAAAAATAAAATATAGCATATATTTTACTATAGATCATATAAATATAGATAATTGTATATAATTATATTACTAATAAATAAGTTCAAAAGAATTTAGATGTCCTTATGAACGAGTTTATTATAAGTTGAAAGTTAAATATGTGTAAAAAATAAAAATATATAAGAGGGTATAATTGATCTTATTATAATAATTACGTATAAAATAAGAAATTAAAATATTTTCACAGATTTTGACATTTATAAGTAGTATAGATATATTACAGAATTCAAATCAAATGTAAAAGTTAAAATTTAAATATATATATATATATATATATATATATATATATATATATATATATATATATTATTTAGATAAGCGTTGAGTAAGTGGGTCATATTAAAAAAATTATAAAACCTACTCATTTAAGGGAATGGACATTTAAGGGAAGGGATGATATATATTTGTGTTATAATTTTTTGGATTAATTGTAAATTACTCTCTGAAAGATTATTTAAATTTTAATTTGCACCCTCAAAGATCAAAAAATTTAATTTGTACTCTCAAAGATAAAAATTTGTATCAATATGCACCCTCAAAGATCAAAAATTTCAATTTGCACCCTCAAAGATAAAAATTTGTATTAATTTACACCCCCAAAGATAAAAAAATTTAATTTACACTCTCAAAGATAGAAATTTGTATCAATGTGCACCTAAAATTAAATTGATCAATTATACCTAGATCCCCTTATACTTGTCACTTAATCATCTAAACCCCTTCACATTTAGAATATTATTCCTACATCTCATAACGTTTATGCACGTGTAACACGTAATCCCTTTTTGTTGATATCTGTCAATATAACTGTTAAAAAATATGATTTTATCTTAATAAAAAATTATATTTTCATATTACCATTTATTTTATGAGTTCAATATACTCTAAAGTTCAAAATCAAGCTTATCATTTGAATGTGTAATAGAATAAAGAGTTGCACATTAAGTGATATATTGCATTGGATATAAAAATATTATATAATTATCTACATTCTATTGGAGATTCAAATGGTAAGTTTGATTTTAAACTTTAGAATACATCGGACCCACAAAATAAAGAGTAATATGAAATTATAATTTTTATTAAAATAAAATCATATTTTTAACAGTTATATTAACAGATATCAACGAAAAAGGGTTACGTGTTATACGTGCATAAACGTTATGAGATGTTGGAGTAACATTCTAAATGTAAAGGGATCCAGATGATTAAGTGACAAGCATAAGGGGATCTACGTATAATTTATCAATTTAATTTTAGGTGCACATTGATATAAATTTCTATCTTTGAGGGTGTAAATTGAGATTTTTTATCTTTGAGGGTACAAATTGAGATTTTTTATCTTTGGGGGTGCACATTGATACAAATTTCTATCTTTGAGGGTGTAAATTAAAATTTTTTATCTTTCGGGGTCTAAATTGAAATTCGAGCTATCTTTTGGGGTATAACTTATAATTAACCCTAATTTTTTAGATTTTGTTTGAGTTTTGTAATATTACTCTATTTTTATTTTTTT